TTGCCGTGCTCCATACACACTAGGCAACGCAATTCTAATCCAGTTGCCGTGCTCCATACACACTAGGCAACGCAATTCTAATCCAGTTGCCGTGCTCCATACACACTAGGCAACGCAATTCTAATCCAGTTGCCGTGCTCCATACACACTAGGCAACGCAATTCTAATCCAGTTGCCGTGCTCCATACACACTAGGCAACGCAATTCTAATCCAGTTGTCGTGCTCCATACATACAAGTCAACGCAATTCTAATCCATTTACCGTACTCTATACATATTAACAAACGCAATTCTAATCCAGTTACCGTACTCTATACATATTAACAAACGCAATTCTAATCCAGTTACCGTACTCTATACATATTAACAAACGCAATTCTAATCCAGTTACCGTACTCTATACATATTAACAAACGCAATTCTAATCCAGTTACCGTACTGTAAACATATTAACAAACGTAATTCTAATCCAGTTATCGTGATTCATATACTGCAAACAAGACAGACAAGTAATGCAATATTAAATTTTTTTTAGATTTCCATTTTGTAGCTAAAAATAAACCTTAAACTGGGCGAGTTGTTCATCTTATAAACGTGGCAATAAAATATATAATCACCCAGGTTATATTCCTAAGTATTATATAGCAAAATATTTTAAGAATTTCTTTCACACACACAGAGGTAACAATAACATTTAAACGTCAAATAATGCAGCTACTTAACTGAGAACAACAAACAACAAAAATCTATGGAATCACTCGAGTACTTTAATAAGCTGTGGTACATAACTTCCACCACATACAAATACCTTTCTATCCGCACATACTGTAAGGGTTAAAGTCAGGAGGCATTTATAGGACTAGATATTACACAGATGATTAAACTATAAACAGTGACCAAAAAAACATATCCGTCAGCAATTTACAAAAAAATCAAGAATATGTGGGAAAAGTCACTGGCATTTATTTTCATTATTATTTTTATTCATAACTGAGCTAGGCGTGCCCTGGTAGTTAGCATGCGGGGTCGAAGGGTCCACGGCTCGAGCCGTGATACCACTAAACACACTGCGCATATTCAGTTGTGGGCGCATTATAAGAGTGATAGTCAGTCCCCTTATTCAATTCAAGGTATCGGACAAAGATACTCTAGAACCCAGACTGTTTAGATCACGTACGTATAAGGTTCTGTTCATGTTGAAAATACCAAGAACTCTTAAAAGACACGATTCCGAAAGGCGACAACAGGAAATGCTAAAAATAAAAGTTTAAAAACAGGGTAGTAGAGAAAAATTACACTTTAGATTTAAATCAAGTGGAAATCATCACAATGAACCTCTTTCTGATGTTATCTTAATTTTATAATGGCAATTTCAAATTAAGTACCGATAAACTAAATGGAAATAATTAACTGTAAAAAGTACTGAAAAACTATTATAATATATTAGGACACCTAGCGGCAGTGCCGGATTAACGCAAGAGCTGACGGGGCTTCAAGGGCTTTGGGAACCCCACTAACCTTGAATTTTTTTGAAAAATACAATTCCATCGATATATTAGCCCTTAGGCCCTAAGTAGGCTTAATCCGGCCTGCTTAGAAGCAAGATTTTAAAATGCCTGTTTACAAAAACGGGAACCTTTTAATTACAGCAAAATAAAAGAAAGTAAATTTTTGTTCGATTTGGATTTAACATGTGTACATTATAAATTGTAAAAAAAAAACTGGTTTATCTTTCACGTGAATATATATTACCAAAAGTTTTGATCAGAAATCTGAGCTACTAATTTGTCTGTTCCATTCAAACTTGCACGTGAATCCCATAGTGCACTGCTGCGTTTTTAAAAATTAGCAGCTGCTAAAACCAAGTTGCCACGTGAAAGAAGAGGGAGGGAGGGAGGGAGTACAGAGAGTCTCAGTGATGAATAGCTATCGGGTATAACATTAGTAATAAACGTCCGCGACATTTCGTTCCACCTGTTCATGTCCAAATGCATTATGGGTAAAGAAATTGCTGAAGGGGAAGAAGATAGCTTAGCTACCACAGTCATTACAGAAATAAAGAGGAAACTCAGTGTCAATCCTAATGCTGTAGCTTACGAATATCAAATTTAAAGGATTAAGGGATATTTGTCGACGTATACCTGTGAAACAGGTGCGCCAGGATCTCTCACGCGACTACTAGGGCTCCCTCTAGGTTGAGCAGGATACCACGGTGGCACTCTAGGTTTGGAATCTCTTCTCCGCATGGTCTCTTTTTATTCTAGATTCGTTGTACCATTTTCGTTCCATCTAGAAAACAACAACAGGAATCAGGATTGACTTATTCAAAAAATAAGACTTATCATCTTATAATCCACCAACTTATATACTCACAGTTCTGACCACTAGAAGATGCTTAACGAAACAAGATATCAGTTTGTATAGCATGACAATATTAATAACGATTACAACTCCACTGTTTATAATACATATGTCTTACTCGTATCTCTAGAACTCAACATATTATCAATGCACAACGGATAATTCAGTGTTAAGTTTATAACAGCGTATTGGAGAGGGCAAATATAAACTTCTCTCCCCCCCCCCCCTCCTCCTTTCCACAGACGTAACCAGGAACGATTCTGATCGAAGGGAGATATTTTGCTCTAATATGGTTATCCACTAATGTCTGTATTTTTCTATATTTTGCTAAACAAATCTGCCCATCTTACTTAACCTCAGAATAATTGTATATGTTCTTCGGATCAGATTTATCTAAATCATGGTAACGAAACAAAAAAAAAAGAGAAAGAAATACATAATCTCTAGTTTTTTCTCATAATAGTATCTTTATAACAGTTTGGTAGAGTTACAGGCTTTGGAAAACTAACCGTAATCCGTGAAATTTAAACACACTCAATCAAAACATTATCTCAGAATTCGGGGCCCCCCCAGTGGCACAGCGGTATGTCTGCGGACTTACAACGCTAGAAACCGGGTTTCGATACCCGTGGTGGGCAGAGCACAAATAGTCCTTGTGTAGCTTTGTGCATAATTAAAAACAAAAAAAACAGAATTCGGTAAAGTGAAAGCGCAACTTTATTGGACTTTGACCTCAAGGCGGGAGGTTAAATTCTATAGCGCAGTTACGATACAATCATCATAATAGCTTGAATAAGAGTAGGTTACTTACACCCACGTATTACTATATCATACTGACAACAACTATATCGGTAAAGCCACCGACAAAGTTACGATTTAAGTTATAGGATTGAATATACGTTATTCTATAAAGTGGCGTAATGAACATTATAAATACGTTTAATTCAGAGTAATAAAACCGAAGTTCCTTTCACTGAAACCTCGTGACAGTATTCAAGTGTAATATGATACTCAAGAAATCTTCTTTACAGTGATGTAACCTCGTGACAGTATTCAAGTGTAATATGATACTCAGAAAAATATTCTTTACAGTGATGTAACCTCGTGACAGTATTCAAGTGTAATATGATACTCAGAAAAATATTCTTTACAGTGATGTAACCTCGTGACAGTATTCAAGTGTAATACGATACTCAGAAAAAATATTATTTACAGTGATGTAACCTCGTGACAGTATTCAAATGTAATATGATACTAAGAAAAATATTCTTTACAGTGATGTAACCTCGTGACAGTATTCAACTGTAATATGATACTCGGAAAAATATTCTTTACAGTGATGTAACCTCGTGACAGTATTCAAGTGTAATATGATACTCAGAAAAAATATTCTTTACAGTGATGTAACCTCGTGACAGTATTCAAGTGTAATATGATACTTGGAAAAATATTCTTTACAGTGATGTAACTTCGTGATAGTATTCAAGTGTAATATGATACTCAGAAAAAAAAACAAATCTTCTTTACAGTCATGTAACCTCGTAACAGTATTCAAGTGTAATATGATACGCAGAAAAAATCTTCTTTACTGTGATGTATTTAGGTATCTAACGTGTGTAACCGGAAACTGAAACATCACTCGCTCTCACTCATTATACACCCTCACCCTCTGGAGCTTATAACCCTAAAATCCTGGTTTCGATACTCGTGGTGGGCACAGCACAGACAGCCCATTGTACACTCACTATACAATCAGCAATTATTCAAGGATGTCATTCGACTCTCCCATAAATCTAATTACGAATTATTGGTTTGTATTTTTGTTTGTAAAGCTACACAATGGGCTATATGTGCTCTGCCCATCACAGGTATCGAAACCAGGTCTCTTGCGTTGTAAGCCTGCAGACATGCCGCTGTGCCACTGGATGGAGGGAGGGGGCGTTGTCTTGTAAAAATTATCATCCCGATTTTATTTATAGCATCAAATCCTAAAATAAACAATCTCAACAACAACAAACAGTGTCGATTTAAAAGTGTTCACATTCCCAACAAAAAACAGAAAGACATCTTAAGTAAAAATACCATGATGCAAATAACAAAACAAAGGAAGGAAAGACTTCTTGAGAAAATCGTCCGTGCTGTGCAGTAAAAAGAGTACAATCAAATGTACAATAGCAACAAGTAAATTCTTTGGGCTTCGTGTAGTTTATTTTTATTTAATACGTTGAGCGGTTGAATCTTAACTTTTTTATGAAAAGACGAACTGAAAACAAATAGTTGAGACGCGCAAAACTATCGCCCCTTCTATCTTATTAACTTTGACAGCTGCTAGTTTTATGTCTGAAGTTTAATATGGAGGTAGGAAATATTTACGTTTTTATCAAAGCAAACCTTTCCAAAAATCTGACATCTCACGTGCCGTATTGCAGACACAAAAATACGAATGTCACTGTTACCTTCAGTGCTTTTAACGTTGTAAATATTCACAACAATGAAAAAGCATATAAAAAAATTCAGAATGAACGCACTAGCCAGCAAATACAAAGAACAATGCAATTAACTCGAGGCCTAGAACTACCGATGGGGTCCTAATACGATTGGTATTTTTTTAAAACTATTTAAGCAATAAATTACTTACATGTGGATCCAAGAGTTCGTTGGTCCCACGTAACGTATGATACGCACGCACATACATACAAAAAAAAACACCAATACTGCAGTGAATTCCACTATTTATTGTTAGGTTTATTTATGTATTTTACATAGAAAATTGGCGATTTTAAAATTTCTTTACAACGAGTGTCCTAACACGCACACACGAAAAAAACAACAACTAAAAAGGCAAACATTCGCAAGTGAATGCAATGTGTCTCCCCCACCCTTAAAATAAAGTAGATTTCACGAGAGATTGTATTCAAGACAGGGTAAGGGGGCATAAAATACAACACATATATACTTCGGAGGGATAGACACTTCACACGGTATTAATCTGAGGCTTTTGTGAGAAAGACGTGATGCAGCTAATTTATTAAACTGTGGCCTTAATAATACATACGACAGGAAGTGTCTGAGTAAACAGGTTTATTTACATTGACATAAGCATAAGACTTGTTAAACCAGATGTAGTAGCTCAGCAATAAGTCAGAGGGTTATTCACGCTAAAAATCGGGATTCGATACCTGCGGTGTGTAGCTTGTGCTTAAAAATAAACAAGCGAAATGCAGTAACAACAATCACTCCTAGCACCGTCCACCACAACTACAGGATCAATTTTCTCTCTCTCTCTCTCTCTCTCTCTCTAGGCGAATAAGTATACAAAACACATCATAAATAACTCCTACAATACACGGGAAATGGCCACTAGCAGATTTTGTTAAGCACAAAGCTACACACTGAACTATCTGTGCTATGACCACCATGGATATCCAAACCCCCTTTTTAGCGTTATAAGCCTTGAGACATAACACTCAGCCACTGGGGGCATATTTAAGCAGGAAGTTTATCATATTCCATTCCTGTACATGGTGTAGCAAAAGTCACACGAACCACAATGACTTTATAATTGTTCGAAATGTTCACCGTTGCTATCACGACACAGAGTTAAAACAGGATCACTTCCACACGTTCTTGTAAGATTAATGACTTTCCAACCAATTATTATAACAAAATAGAAATAGACAGCGAAACACAAACAAGACTTGGAAAAATCGTAGTAATTGTGAGACATAAAAGTTGTGCTTCCTCCTGTACTTCAAGCTACGTATGATACGAAAGTTCTACGACAAGGGCGCCTCCATACGGAAGTCTTATCTAAAACTCTTTCTTCTAAGTACAAAGTTTCATCACATACCAAAAGAAAAATCACTTTATATATACGTAGTCTATTGCCTAAAATATACAAACAGAGGTTGTTTGTTTGTTTTTTGCCAGCCTCGTCTTTTACACAAAAGCAATAAAGAAAATAACATAAAAGTTTACTAGCCAGGTGGTTAGAGCGCTCGACTCGCAATCTGTTGGCAGGGATTCGAATCCCTGTCCCACCAAATATGCTCGCCCTTTCAGCCGTGGAGGGCTTTATAATGATAAAAGAGTAGCCCAAGAATTGGTGGTGCTGACTAGCTGCTAAATTAGGGACGACTATCATAGTTAGCCCTCAACAAAAGTTCACAAATGAAGAGACTGAAACAGGTTTGTATCCTATACCACAATCGTGCTCTTGTCTAAAAGTGTTAGTAGTTAGCATTCCCTTCAGGACTATCTCAGTAAACTTAGTTTCTAATAAATAGGGGAAAAAAGTATTAATATTTTAACGGAAAGTAAGGATCGTTGGTTATTCGTAGAATTCCTATAAGAAGTATCCAAAACATAATAAATACTGCAATAAAAAGTACACAAACAAGTAAGGTGATACTAGCTGGACAGATTTTAAAACGATTTTTAATCCTTACTTTGGTTGGCATTGTGATCCATATAGCTAAATGAAGCAGTCTAAATTCTTATTTCATTACTTTTTGTAGCCGGTTTCCTATTTCATTTTCAAATTAATGATCTTTTAATACTCTTGCTTCTTTACTTTTTATGTTATACCTGTATAAAATATATACTTTACGTTTAGAAACTGTCGTGTCTATCCATTGATAGATTGCGCCATCTGTTGGGTTGAAAAGATATTTAAGTAGTGAATGATACGTTTACCATTTATAAAAAGATCTTTATATATTTATCGGAATATCAAAAGCGGATACTCACAGATCAATTAATAAAGCTGGAGAAATCTTGTAGCGATAATCCAATCCATCTAGGAGCTAGCCCCGCTGACGTGATCAAGTAGGTAGGTAGGTAGTAGATGAAAAAGTTTCTATGTTAGAAATTTTTGAATTCTTATCCCGGAAATGTTAGCGAC